TATATCACGTTGGTTGCGTTATCCATCTCTGACGGATCAGTGTTGTTGTGTCGAAAATGTACATGCGTGGGCACGGGGGAGGGGTGAGTTCGTGAACCCACCGGTTCTGTGGAACCTGATGAATAATGCGGGCTGCTTCACTTGGGTTAACACGATGCCTAGTGTCTACCAACTGAGCGAGAATCGCACTTGTGATAGATCCGGAACCAACTTGATTCCGCCGGCGCGGATGGTATTCTTTCATGAGGATAACTGCCGAGCCGTACGACCGAAGCAATGTTAAAAACGCATATGAGGGAGTAAACAATCACTGAAGCGGTCAACATCGGTAGTTTATGCTCATTTCGTGTGGTTATCACTGGTGAACTTTTGAAAGTGCAGCATCCAATGTGGCTTTTAGTGTTCCATTTATTCGTCTTATGTGGATTTCGGCGACAACTTTGCAATCAGAAGGAAAACTAAAGAACAAGTCCTTTTAGCCACCCTATCAGTGTGTACATTTGGTACCTGTTCCAATTTCGTTGAATGAAACGGTCTGGGTAACCATTACTCCTGAGCATGTTACAGATAAACATGAGTTCATCTTCCAATACTTCATGTGGACAGATTCTCCGAGATCTGGATACCAAACATTTCAACAGGTTCCTCTAGCTTATTAAGTATGTGACTGTAAATATTCGTGTTTTGGATACTGTGGGTTTGCTTACGATACACAGGTCGTTGTACAGAGTACACCTAGAAGTGGCATTCGATCATCTGCTTTTAACTCTATTGTATTATATGGCCTTGTGTGCGGAGTTAGACTTTTCTAACAGTGAATCCAGTTCCTAGCTCGAATGAGCTATGCAAAATATTAAGAATATTAATAATGCCTTTCAACTGATTGTTCTCTGACATCCCCATGAAAAATATGCTTCTGTTAACGCCGTGGTAAAAGGATGGCATCAGTTCCTTGCGTTTTCTACGCGACTTGATTTGTGGTGAATTCATGGATGACTGTATTCAAATGAAATGTCACTATGGCTATTATTGAAAAGCTTTACATTGCACTGAATCTATCCAAATGCTAAAACATTGCAGGATCATACCCTTAAGGAATGTAACACTATTTGCTCCAGAGTGATAGAGTATAAATCAGAGCCAATATTGAATGGATTGTTTATGTGAGAACTAGAAAACGGAAGATCCCCATCGTGTGTGTGCTCACATAGTCCAGATGCTCTGTGACTTTCCTGTGGCACCAGATCAGAGAAACCTAAAACGGCAAAGAAGGAGCATTGTACTGAGACTCTTGTTCGAAATGTTTCTCTCTCGGTCAACTTACCGCTTGTGCCCAGCCCGCCCATTCACCCCACAACGCGCTCATTCCGTTCGAGATTTCTCGATAGGTTTTCGGTGTGAGATTGGTCACAGTCGCGGCCGGAGGAATCGCGCGTTCCCGAGCGGCCCGCAACATATGCACATCCACGGGGACCACGTGGATTTTGTCCAACGAGGAAAGACAAATGCAATCGGCCACCTGGAGAAAATGGAAAAAACTTCGTTTTCACAGATCGGGCACACATGTGAGAGACATATGGTTTGTTGACTGTACCGGTGAAGACGTGAAAGCGAACGTGTTGATAGGAATATAATCTGAACTGCATTCCCTCCTAATTCAGAAGATCTGGTGACAGTGTGTTTACCGAGTGAGCGATTAGTATCTACAGGACGACAATGTCGTCTGCTGATTTCACATGTACGTTGTATCCCAGAGAAGTATCTCCGACTAAAGAATTTCTCCATAGCATTAGGTCTTCACCTCGCATTCAATCACCGTTTGGTGGCACGTAGGCATGGTAAATACCCATTAAAGACACATGAAGTATTTTGACCCTAAAGATGAGAGGACCTATTCGCGGCATACAAAAGCGACTTTTAATGTGCTGCTCAGACATCAGGGGCCTTTTTCTATCCAATGGCTAGGAATTTTTATATTTTGACACATGTCTGAATCCAAACCGTGTGCCAACCAAATCATGGTACAGTAATCTGTATGAAAAAGAAAGACGTTCCATGATTTGCATGTGGGCGGAATACTGCCAGGTTGCCCAGGCCAGAGCAGGTTAATTTTCTTGAGGAATCTACAACCGGAGCCTTTCTCTAACCAATGCCTAACCCGCAAGGCAGCGGGAAGGTGTGCGAAAACCGCAAACCATTGGGGGACAGTGTCCAGTTCATCGGATCATATGCCCTTAGGACGGGGTCAAACGCCCATGGTGCCCAATACACCTCCATGCCCAATTGAGCTGGTGACCATTGCCACGGCCGAAAAAACGTGGATGTGGTTCGTACGCCGCCTCTTGGTTGTTTTGGAATCAGGGTTTTTAGCAAACTCCCCTGGGTGAACTACCAGTGGTTCATCAACCCGGATATCGGCTTTTTGTCCTCTCACTTTGGCGGGAAAACACCCCCGAGACGAAAAGGTAGTGAGTAGGGCTTATTCAGCAGATGCTATCTGAGACGCTTGGTCGAACGGTAGCATTTGGCAAGGTGCAAGGAAAGGGTCACCAGCCGCAATCTTATACACCCACCCCACCCCCCCACCCCCGGCCATACTGAAGCCTTCAAAAGTATGGCTAAGAATGAAGTCGACACTAAATAAATCTATTTACAACATCACGTTTGGATTGGAATAGTTCAGGGGTAAGTTTTTCGTATTTAACTCACAGTTACTTGTGAGTAGTGTGTGGGATGGTCGATATCGGTTGATTTGACTGACTATCCTTCGGACTTCACCTTCACGCACAACCCTCAGTTCATCGATTCAACCATACACTCCGAACCACTAGACTCAAGTTTCACCATGGCATGAGCTGGTTGGCACAGTGGTCACACACGCCTTCCATGCGATGGGTCCGGAGTTCAAAGCCCGGGCGGGAAGGTGGATATGCACTACTGATGAGTGGATATTTGTCTCCGTAAACGGTGTCTGACGTCGAAGTATGACAGAGGCTAATAAACTGATGACGATTGAGATCGAATTTATTCCACGGTGGTTTGCGCAGTCGTTGCGAGATCCCTTTTAAAAATGGGAACAATCCGTGGTTCGCTCAAGGATGACGGAATGCTCCCGTATATATGTGCATACTTATTTAACACCAGCTTGCGGACAAGTATGGTGCCAACGCCACAACAGTAATAACATTAAAAATCACAGGGGATGGGTGGATTGGTGTACGGGACACAGTGAAAGGAAGGTGAAACAGTTAAAATGGAAGGTAGCACATAAATGGAATAACAAAATTTTGTTTCACTGCACACTTTTTGATATTTTTTTGTTAGTTGGTTTTTTTAAGGGGCACAGGATTTTGACAGGCAGACCGTATGGCATTCGAGCTCGTGTGACCAGATTTTAGGCATTAAATCAGTAATGGAGTCTATGAGGTCATCGCCCCCTCCCCTCTTTACAAGAATGGGAGCCCAACTGGTCCTGCTGTTTCTTTTTATAGGGCTTGTGCTTTAGTAAGAGGTTCACATGAAACTGCCCACGGAGTCTCTGCTACAACAGACGATACAGTCTGGTTAGCGCCTGGACGGCTGCATTGTTCGTTGAAGTACTCTGACCATCGGTCAAGTCGTTGTTTCCCATTGTGAATAGCTTGTCCACTTTCGTCACAGATTGTTTCAGTAACTGTGGTTCGCCGATCTCCCATGTTTCGTATCAGGTGAAACATTCTTTGACTATTCCCTGATGCAGCTGCTACGTCCATTTCATGAGCTATTGTTGCCCACCAATTCTTACGGCTTTTCTCAAGGCTCTTCGTGAGCTGGCGTTGTAGGCACCACCTACCCTTGCTTTGCCTCCAAAAGCCCCAGTAAGTTCTGGGGTGTGTCTAGGGTTGCTACTGGTCACCCTTCGCTTGCATCTCAAGAAATGCTCCCGTACGACCAAGCACCTTAAAAGCCTCTGCTGAGGAAGCCCTACTCACCGCCTTCTGCAGTCAGGTGTTTTCCCACAATAAAGAGGATGAAAAGCCGATATTCGGGGCTATAACCGGGTTGGTGGTAGTTAATTTAGGAGAGCTGGCCCAAAACCATGATTCCAAACAAACCAAGAGGAGGCACACGAACCACACCGCAGTTGTGGCAGTGGTCAGCGGCTCGACTGGGCATCAAGGTGTAATAAGCATCTGAGTCACTTGACCACGTTTGGTTGTAAAATCCGATCAACTGGACAGCGACCCCCAATGGGTTGCGGTATTCACACACCGCTCTGCTGCAATGAGGGTCAGGCTTTGGCTAGCGGAAGGCTCCGGTTGTGAACTCCGTAGGAAAATTCACCTGAATTGGCCTGGGTAACTTGGCAGTATCCCAACCACGCGCATATTATGGAAAGTTTTTCTTTTTCATAAAGGTTATTGTAACATGATTTCTTTGTTCAGTTAAGTTCCAGGACGTTGATAGCCGTGTGCCAGTTAGTTCAGTTTCTTGCAGCGGTGGGCTCCAGGAATCCCCGATGCTGCGACAGATCGAGGAGGGAGATGACTCTTCTTCAACGTTGCGATCAAAAACTTCAGGAAAGTTGGATGTTGACCTTCCACTTACGTGCAACCTTCCGGTCACGCCTAATGAAGCAGACCTAACACCCGCATCGACCAAGTTACAACCCCGGCCTAATAAGTTCAGGAGTTCAAATATTAAAGTCAGTGATTAAATAATGTGGCGGGATGATGATATGGTACGGGACAGAATGAATGAAAAATAATAGTAGTGGATAAAGAGGGTCGGAGAGGAGGAGCCGTGTATGGAGGTGGACAGGGCAGCTGATAAGCCGTCATCAATTTATATCAATGGGAAGAGAATGAAAATTTTGAGACATCTTGAACAAACAGTTATAAAATGAAGAAAACTGACTTACGACTCAATTTCACGTTGCAACCGCATTCTTCAGGACGCAAAATTCGCCAACGTCCAAATTATGGTTCGGTCAGTCTTGAAGTCTTGAAGTCTTGAAGTGACTCTCGGGTTCGAGGCTGGCGCCCAATG